TGGAGAAATGTAGCTACTTCTTTTCCAGACTGTTAAGTGGGAATCATATGAGGGGTACCGCCCCCTGCACACACACACACACACACACACACACAAAGGAATTGCGCTGGGCCAAGCAGAGCTTTCGTAGTATGCATTTTTCCCTCTAGGTGAGCATCTAGCAACTTACTCTGAGTCGGTGTACCTAGTGGTGCCGCCTGGGAAGATTCTGGTCACAGTGAATTTTTTTGTAAAATCAGTTTCACTCATTTTTTTGTAATGGCCAGTTTAAGAGAATAGCATGCAGCTGTGAAATTTCATTTCCTGCTTGGGAAAAATGCCACAGGAACTGTTGTGCTGTTGAACACAGCTTACAAGGACAGCACTATAGGAAAACTCAAGTGGTTTTCTCATTTCAAAAAGGGTGAAATGTCTTTTGATGGCAAACCTCGTTCTGGATGTGTGTCAATTTCCCAAACAGATGCAAAGGTCGACTCGCAGTGCATTTTGAGTTCCTTCCACCAGGTCAGACTGTTCATCAAACTTTCTATTTAGACGTTCTGAAAAGATTGTGTAACTGGGGGGCAAAAAAGGGCCTGATTTGTGGCAGATGGGGGACTGGTTTTGCCACCACAATAATGCACCTGCTCACGCACCTATTTCAGTGTGCCAATTTGGGGCAAAACAAAACAGCATGCTTCTCTTGCCCCAGGCACCTTACTCACCTGACCTTGCTCCCTGAAACTTTTCTGTTTCCCAAATGAGGAGGGACATGAAAGGACAACGATTTGACAACATAAGAGGAGGTGAAGATAAAAACGAGGGAGGTGCTGTCAGCCACTCTAACAGATGAGCTGAAAAATGTTTCAAAAATGGAATCACAGATTTGACAAATGTATTAAGTGTAATGGAGAGTACTTTGAAGGTGATATGGTTTTGTAAAAAAATTTTAAATACTTAGCTTTGACCAAAAAAATCCGGGTTTGGGGGCTACCCCATCATAGGCCTCCAGTAATAACAATATTAGCAGCAACAAAAGGTTGCAGAGCGGCTTTGGGCCAGGCCCTTCACATACACAAATTCATTCCACGCTCGCAGCAGCACTAGGAGAAAGGCACCATGGACTTGATCGCAGCTTACAGAAGAGGAGAGGGAGCATCCGTGAGGCAAAGGCCCCGGGAGCATCCTTTGAATCTGTGGCAAGCTGGGATTCAAATAGTCTGCTGCTAGAGCCCGGGCTTATCACCACATTGGCTCTAGGGTTTGCTTGTGGCTTTTGTTTAAACGTTCAGTAATGCAAAGTGTAGCAAAGGAAAGCCTTCGGTTGATAGAACATGCTATGAAGCGGGCCTACGCCCGCAGCATTTTTTTCAAGTCACTCTGTCCCTTTGGGACGAGAAGACTTGGGTTGTGAATGTTGAGCGTCCCCAGTGGAAACCTGGAAGAAAACAGAGCCTCATTTTATCCCGTCCTCAGTTTCGACTGATGTTTTGATTTCTGAAGGCAGACGATTGGCCAACTCCTATGTGGTCCGGAGGCCCCCAACGTGTTTCCAGGTAATTTGCACTCATTGCGTTTTTCAGGGGTTTTGTTTTCTCTCGTGCGCGTGCACACTCTGTCTCATTAAATTGCGTTGGCTCTCAGTTCTCTGGGTCTTTGGGGGGAAGCAGGTTTTTATAGACATTAGTGGGATTGTCCAGGCATACGCCTGTATTTGGAACACAGCAGTTTTAACAAGTAAGGGTCATGGTTCAAGGTAATGCGGAGCGTGTCACGTGCCCTCTGAAGAGAAGTCTCTTCATAAACAAGAATTTGGTAAATAGAAAAATTCAACATTCTGATTGACGGCATGCACTGGTTTGTTGCAAAATGATTTCTAACTTTTCCATCAGCTAAACACGATAAATTGATAAAGATTAAAGTCCAGCCATGAGTTATGGGCATATCAGAAACAGAACTCTGAATACGCCACTCTCCACCCGCTGGGCGGGGAGCACCATCCTCTGGGAGGCCCAGGTTCTCTGTCATCCTTAGTCTGGGCACTCACGCACCAGCACAAGGGGCTTCGGTGTGCCTGGTCAACCCGGGACATGAGGTAGTCCAAGGGGTTCTACAAGGCCTGGAGCCTGCTCGAAGCAGCCACTTGTATGCTCCGTTGCCCTGCAGTCCACACTGCCTGCCCAGAACCTCCCAGCTGGAGTCACACGTGCCCACCTGCAAGCTCAGCACCCCCCAGAAGGTGGAGTCTGGCAGTAGTCGTACTGCTATGGGTACACATACCTGTCTCCTCCAAGCTAAGACTGCCCCAAGCCTGAACCTTGAGCAAACGTGTCCCTGAAAAAGGGACACAGTAAGAGTGGAGTGAGTATGAGGGCCACTGGCCTAAAGGACACAGGAGACAAACACCAGAAGCAGGACAAGAGAAAAGGCAAAGCTTACCATGTCCCCCAATCTGTTCATTCCCACACCTAGGTGCGCCGCCTCCGCGGACTTCCCTGGAGAGGCTCAGCCTAAGAAAGTGCGCTCAGCATGCGGAGGCCAGCCACCGCCCAACGGTTCGCCAACAGTCCATTCCTGCCCCACCTCCCAATAGTACGTAGGCTTCCTGTATGTACGTAGGCTTCCTCCCTACTGTCGGACTGCCATGGCTAGCCGTGTGCATGAGCGGTGCCGATCATGGACTTGGAGTCCGATGGGATTTCAGAAACCTATCATCTACAAGTTAGGCGAGATTGGGCAGTAAGCTGCCCTGAGCCCCAACTTCCTCATCTGTCAAACGAGTGGGAAAAGGCTGTGGCGTAGATAATGCTCTGTGCGCACCACCCACTGCCCCTTCTGGGGCACAAAGGAAGCGCGCATGGACCAGCCCCGATTGCAGTCGGGTCGGTGCTGGGTCTGACCCCTGAAAATCTCCCACAGGGCCTCTGCCTGAACAAGAGGTAAATCTTTGTTTGTTCCTGCCACCAATCCCGGGCCTCGCCTGACACAAAGAGGTTGGGGAATACTTCGTATCACCTGCCTGGCCTGAAGGAAGATAGTGAGGGCCCAAAATACGCTAGTGGTGGCGGAACGGGACAAATGACGGCTCAGAACTAAGGAGGTGGGGTTACTGAATCGTACGAAATACAAGTTACTGTGTGGCTTTAATAAAACGTGCAGAAATATCTTGTGCACTATAAAGATCAGTAGGCATGGGGGGTGGCAATGTTTAATAACTATTTCGCGTCTTAAAATAAGGAGCCCTTGCTTTGAGCTGCTAATTTCAAGGTTGCTGGTTCAAACCCACCAGCTGGTTCCTCAGCAGAAAGAGTAGGTTGTCTGTTGCCATAAAGATGTACAGTCTTAGAGACCCTATTATAGGGTCATTATGTGTCAGGACTCGATGGCAGCAAATTGGCTTTGGGGCCTAAAATGAGGAGCCCTGATGGCAGCGTGGTTTACATGCTCAGTGGCTAACCCAAAGCCTGATAGTTTGAGTGTCCCTTCCCCACCCACCCTCACCTGCAGCTGCAAAGACCTGGTGAGCTCCCCTCTTGAAGATTCCAGCTGAGGAAAGAAACCCCATGGGGCAGTTGTGTGTATCCTAGAAGGCAGAGCTGGCTGGCCAGCACAGCACGGCACAGCTCCAAGGAGAGATGGTTTACACAGATCCCAGCAAGGCTGATCCACACACAGTTCCTATTACCTGAGCAAGCCCTCCAGCATGGATCAGGGTGGCATCGGGCATCCAGGAGCATCCAGGAACCACCAAGGCGTACAGCGCCGTCACAAAGTAAGGGACAGAGTAGAACATATACACCAGCATCTGTGTGGAGCAGAGAAGCGATCCCACCGTCAGCAAATGATGGATGGGCCTGACTCAAAACAACCCGAAATGATGTTTCCTTCTTGAAATCGGTATTTCCTATTTTCTATAAGGACCACGTGTTTTCCCCCATTGAATTTTTATTTTCTTTAGAAAAACCTTAAGGCTTCCTAAGTACTTGACCTGAATTTTAGGGTAAGCAGTAGGATCCTTTAGGTAGGGCTCTTGAAATTGGGTATATAGTCGGCACAGCTCAGCCGGGCACTCCAAAGCGATCTGAGAACAGAAATGAATTCGTTAGAAAGCTACAATCACATCTGGTTCTTACATGTGCCCATAAAGCAACACGTGCCCCAGTTAGTCCCAAGCTGCGTTTAACATACACAGTGCAACTGCAGAGCCTCTTCTGAGAATGAGGGAGGGACGACATACTCTGACCTGTAGAAGCAGGAGCCAGGGGAGGTGCAGGAATGGAAATCAACACTTGATTCTTGTGCGCCTTTCAAATACCCAGTGAGCTTAGGGGTTTTGTTTTTGAAGAGGGAAGATTTTCCTCATTTTATTTTGTTGAGAGCATACATAGTAAAGCATAGTTTCTACGTGTAAATTTCGTGATACAGATGTCTTTCTTTGCCCCCTCTCATTAACCATCTAGTTCAAAACCACCAGCCGCGCCAACAGGACTGCCGTACACAGCTGCAGTCTGGGAACCCCACAGGGGCTGTTCTACCCTGTCCTGTCCGCACAGACTCAGAGGCAGCAGGGAGGGAGGGAGGGCGCCCAGGCAGGGTCTGCCTTCCTGGGAGCAGCTCGGGCAGACTGGCAGTGCTCGCTACAGGACGGAAGTCCATCTCTACACCAAACCCTGCTTACAGGACTGCAAGATTCAAACACTGGCTTCCCGCCCCTCTCTCCAGAGGCTCACAGCTCTGTGACCTTTAAGGGCAGTGATTTGAGAAGCCACCTCCCGGGTCAGCTTTGAAAGAGAGCAGAACGGGTTTAGTCACATGGAGTAGACCTTGGGTCCCGGGACAGGTGGGGCATCTCTGGCACATCTGAGTCCCCTCCCCCTCCTCGGGCACCACTGCTCCCCTCAGGACACACAGGTCCCAGCTAGATGACATACATGAGCACAGGCCAATGGCAGGGCTGGTAAGAAAGGCCCCAACACACAGGCCATCGGGTCGGTGACAGCCCCTCCCTAGGAAGCACGTGGGTGCTCGAGCACCTATAGATACCAACACCTGGGCTTCTTGGGACGGTGTGGGCGGGGTGAGGCAAAATCACTTGTCTGTTGTAGTTTTAACTACTCATCAGGGATGACGTTTTTTTGTTTTTGTTTTTTTTAGCAAGATCCCCCAGGCTATTCTGGAGATCTAAAGGAACCACCTGGCACCTTGTGAAAAGGTGCTTGTGAGAAGGGGTCTGTAGTCAGGAATGCACAGAGGTTTGACAGAGAACATATCGACATATATGCTATTTACCTGTGCTGCAAATTTAGCCATGAATCCAGGAGAGCACGCAGGGGCAGAGTTATGCAAACTTCTTAGCCATAACCAAACTCCTTGAGGGAACAAGTCGCTGGGCCGAGGGGCTCTCAACTCTCATGCCATCGAGCCATTGCTGACTCATAACAAACCCCCTTCCTCCCCACCCCCACCCCTCCGTGGCTTTCCGAGACACTGTTGGCATCACATGAACCACAAAGACAGTGTTCTACAGCCCACTCTGGAGAGTAGCAACCGAGGTCTTAAAAGCCTGTGAGCAGCCATCTCAGGTGCAGTGATGAGTCTCCCCGGGGCCACAGCAAAGAGCACGAAACAAACCAAAGATGCATGGAAACAACTAGTCCGACAGACACACACAAACCTATACTCCGCAACCCCGAGACCAGAACTAGATGGTGCCCGGCTACCACAACCAACTACCCTGAACAGAGTGGAAGAAATGTGAAACAAAATCAATTAAAAAACACCAGGCTGACTGCTCTGATAGAGACTGGTGGAACCCCCACACCATGACCCTTAGTCACCGTTCCAGTCTGGCACTGAACTTCCCCCCTGCTTGTTCAGCCACCACAAACAGGCCCATCAGATGAACACCGGCCATCAGGAGGTACACACTCCTTAGAAAAATCAACCATTTGAGGTCAAAGGGGCAGCTTTGCACAAGGACAAAGCTCAGGAGGCAGGCGGGTAACGAAAGGGGGAGGAAGGGAGGCAGTGGTACACTGTGATGGGTGCCATCAATGAAGCACAATGCACGTTGAGTGGGAAATGGACCTGCTCTGTAAGAAACCTCCCTGCTGTTGAGTGGGTGGCGATTGCGACTCACAGCGGCCCTGGGGCCAGGGAAAACTGACCCTGTGAGTTTCCCTGACTCTAACCCTGCAGGGGTAGGAATCCCTGCTATTTCTCCTACAGGGCTGCTTGTGGTTTCGAACTGCTGACCCTGCAGTTGACAGCCCAACACCATCTACCTCTGGAATGAACCAGTTCAAAGCCCCAAAATCTTCAACTTTGAGGACTGCAGCAAACTAGCCAAAGCACTGCTTCTTGGGTCCTGTGGTCTTGAGCAAAGGCCGGGCCTGCCTTCCCTTGCCTGTGCCCTCACCCCACTGGGTCTCCTCCAGCAGCAGCGGGCGGTCCGCACATGGAGACAACTCTGAACTTGGCCAGTCACATAGGCCCTCCTAGTGCACTCCCTGCCATCGACTTGATCCTGACTCCTTGTGACCCGATAGGACCGGGTAGACTGGCCCCTGCGGGTCTCCAGGCTGGGATCTTTACAGAAGCAGGAAGCCTCAGCCCAGGCAGTTGCTAGTGGCTTTGGATCGCCGGCCTGTGGGTAGCAGCCCCACTCCTAGCCCACGACACCAGTGGGGCTCCTCGCCACTCAAGGGCCCCCAAACAATGAGCCAGCTCCCTCAGCCTTCACTTGCCTCCTCACTCCCCACGATCAGGCAGTGCCTACGGCTCAGAGCCGCTAGGACGTGCCATCGAGACTGAGTATAACAGACCGCAGAAGCCAAGCCGCTCCACTGTATTTCAACAGAATAAATCAGGAATTGGGGTCATTGTCTAGGACCCCCGATCCACAAAAGGGTCGTAGCGCTCACCTACTAAGCACTTACTAGTGTAAGGCCCTCTACTAAGTGTCTCCTAAGTGCCCTCTACTAGCGCATTTATCTTCGAAGCGATCCTATAACGCAGCCACTGTTGTCTTGCAGGGGACAAAATGCAAAACCAAATGAAGCGGGCCGCCATGAGTCGATTCCAACTCAGCAAGCCTCGAGCGCGGTACAGCCGCCCCGCGGGTTCCCGAGACTAGGGCCTTACAGAAGCAGAACGCTCCCTCTGTCTCCCAAGGAGCGGCTGGTGGGGTCCAACTGCTGACCAGCTGTTAGCAGCCCCACTGGTAAGCATCACGCCACCCGGGCTCTTCTACAGGGGAGGAAATGGTAGACAACGAGGTGAAGTAACTTTTGCACGGCCACCCAGCTATTAACTGGGGCCTTTGCATTGACTTTTATACTATACTATTGAAAAAGAGAAAAAGTTGTAAGATATGACAAAACAATAATAATTTATGAATTATGAAGGGTTCATGAGGGAGGGGGGAGGGGGGGAGGGGGGAAAATGAGGAGCTGATATTGAGCTCAAGTAGAAAGCAAATGTTTTGAGAATAATGATGGCAACAAATGTACAAATGTGCTTGACACGATGGATGGATGGATTGTGATAAGAATTGTACGAGCCCCCAATAAAATGATTTAAAAGTATATTTTGATAATGATGAGGGTAACGAATGTACAAATGTGCTTGACACAATGGGTGTAAGTATGGATTGTGATAAGAGTTGTATGAGCCCCCAATAAAATGATTTAAAGAAAAAGAGAAAAAGTAAAAAGCAAAATGCCCACATGTTCTTAATGTCATCTATCAGGTACATCAACCCACAGATTGAGTCTGGTCCTTATTTGTGATTCATTTCACCATCCGGGAAGTCAGTGACCCCACTTCTAGGTGGGTTCAAGGAGCCCTGGTGGCATGCAGGGCTCCACGTGGGGCTGCTGACGCAAGGCTAGCAGTTGGGACCCACCAGTGGTTCCGTGGGACAAAGTTGGCGCTTTCTACTCCCATCCAGGTTGACAGCCTCAGAAACCCACAGGGGCAGTTCCACTCTGTCCTCTTGTGTCACCATGGCTTTGTTCACATGTGAATTCTTCATCACACCCCTTCCTCAATCACCTCCACCCTAGGCCTGAGAGTGCCGAGATGCGTACTCGCACAGCTTCCCTGGGGTTGTAGAGTACAACCCTTGTAGCTTTGATGAAAGACACCCCAGTCGGAGACATCAGAGGAAAGGACTGACTGAGACTCCATGCTCCTGAAAGCTCGCTGTTGAGTGGATTGCAGTGCATGGGCCCTTGTGTGTCCGAGTTGGCCTGGGCTCCATACTTGACCACAGCGGAGCTTTGGGAAGCAGGCCACCAGATCACCTCCAGGGGGACTAGAGTCACAGCTCAGTCATTAACCATCCACATCCCCCAAGCACGCCATCAGGCACATGGTGCGGGTAGCAGGTGCTGTCGGACCATTTTCCGTTCAATTCATGATGACCCCATGTGGACAGAGGAGACTCTCTCCATGGGCTGTGACCTTTCTGTGAAGATCAATCACCAGACCTTTCTCCCAGGGGCCCTCTAGGGAGGCTCCAGCCTCCCATTTTTTGGATAGAAGCCCAGATTTAACCATTTGTGCCACGCAAAACCCAAACCAAACGCACTTCCACCAAGTCAATTCCCACTTACACCAACCCTGTACGATAGAGCAGAACTGGCTCTGGGTTTCTGGAGCTGTAAGTCTTTATGGGAGGAGAAAGCCCACAGAACCACTGGTGGGCTCAACCCACCAACCTTGCAGTCCAAAGCCTGACCAGTAACCCACAATCCCACCGGGCTCCTTCCATGCCAACCAGCAACTCCAAAATAAGGAGAGGAGGATACTTGTGGGTGGAATGCATGACGTCATCCAGGGCACACCCTCCCCCTTGGGAGTGGCAGTCTGGTGGGGGAGGGGTGCAGCCTCAGGAAGCAGGTCCCCCGAGCTCTGGGCTCTGACACAGGGCTATTTCTTAGTGTGCTAGGAAGCCCAATTAAAAAACAAAACCAACATGTAGAGACTTCTGTTTTTCTTCTACTTCAAAGCCTTCATAGACGGAAAAGAGAAGTTAATGTTATTTTGAGCTGTTGTGCTTACCAAACCTCTAAACAAGCAAAATCCAGTTGCTAGGAGGAGGCACGTGATCAGGATTAAATCAAGAGGTCTTCTCAGCAGGTCCTTAGCTTGGGCTTCTCGGACGACCTAAAAGAGAGTGTGTCGCTAAAGAGCAGGCCCTCGGTGCCCAGGACGACTGACTGTGGATGTAATATAAACTGCCCCGATGTCAATCCCTGGGGACGGGATGAGAGAATCTGAGGAAAAGTCACTTCCGTTGCCCTCATGCCACACGGGTGCCTCCCTGTCCGATTTTACGCTGCCTTCTTGGAAGAACACGTCCGTGGTTATTTGAGTATAAAGAACACATTCATTTGAGAGAATAAAAGGAAGCCATATACCTGCCACGCTCCGATTAGCAATTGGCATGCTTTTCTGATCTCTTTCCTCTATATATTAGTTGTTGTGCATAAAGTTAGGACTTAATGTATATGCAATTTTGGATTTGTGCTTTGTGCACTTAACATCTCTTGCTGTTAGAAGCACCTTTCTGTGTCATTGAAAGTGAAAGATAAGTAACTGCACAGTGTGCTACCCACTGGAAGCCCTCTCCTCTCTCTGGCTCTTCTCCCACTGTTGGACAGTGCGGCGCCGTGTTTGAGGTCACACCCCACGTGATGATGGAGCACGCCACACAAATCCCTCTGACGATCCTCCCTCGGGATAAGGCCCTAGGAGTTCAAGGACTGAACTTGCTAAGGTTGATGTTGCCGAACTGATTTGCAAAGTGATTCTAAATGAATGTTTTTGTCAGTAGTATACGAAAACTGTCCGTTTCAGCTGGCTGTCACTGTTTGGTTTTGGTTTTTTTTTTTATTAAAAAAGTAATAGTTTTATGTGTCTTATGAAAAGGATACCAGACGGACACACTGTACGGAACCTTCAAAAGCAGCGGAGCCAGGTTCTATGCCAGGGGTATACAGTAAGTCTCAGGGTTATGGACGCTCAGCTTATGGACAACTCATACTTGTCCTTTAATGGTAGGAGCCCTGGTGGTGTAGTAGGTAAACATTGGGCTATGATCTGCATGGTCGGCAGTTCAAAACAACCACAGCTCCGTGAGCGAAAGACTGGGCTTTCTACTCCAGTAAACGGTTACAGTCTCGGAAACCCACAAGGGGTCACTGTGAGCCGGCACTGACTTGATGGCAAGGAGATTGGGGCTTTTGGAAGTTTGGCCTGTGCCTGAAACTAGTGAACCAACCGCTTCTCACAAGAAATTCTATTCCCAATCCCCTCCACTTTTCTTGAAGTGAACCCCTGGCTGTGAAGCGAGTACCCTCTAGGGCAGCAAAAAGCTGCCCCGTAGGGTTTCTGAGGCTGTTAAAGGGCTGACTGCCACATCTCTCTCCTGCCACGGGGGCTGCTGGTTCCAAGCCAAGCTTGCGGTTGGCTTTCACCACTGGACCACCCTAAAGCACTCGGGCATAGGTTCCCAACGTTATTTGGCCTACTGCCCCTTTTTTAGAAAAAAGGGTAAAAAATTACTCAGCACTCACCCTGACCATTAAAAATGCTTGTTTATAGCCCATAAACAAACAAACAAAACACCCAGACTCACTGCCATCCAGTCAATGCCAACTCATATTGACCCTACAGGGCAGGGCAGAACTGGCCCTGTGGGTTTCGAGACTCAGTTTACCAGAGCAGGAAGTCCCATCTTTCTCCTGCGGTGGCTCATGATCCAGGATAAATGGTACGCACCGCTTTGCAGCGCCTTGGGTGGCTCCTGGGCTCCCCCGGTGGGGGGTTGGGGGGCGGGACAGGGAAACACTGCAGTGCGGCCAAACGAGGGCCAAAGGCATATGATGGTCCGACTTAAGGGCAAACTCCACTTAAAGACCTCCTGAGCAATAGATCTCTCTGTAACCTGGGGGCTACTTGAATTTTTTTTCTCTTTTTAACTACCCGCAAAAGCCCTGGGTAGACAGTTTGCTGATACCAACCTGATTGTATAAAACAGGTATCGAACTGTGGACGGCTTTGTAAATGAAAACATTTCAGTTACGTCCACTGTAAACTTTTGTTAACAGAAGTGAACTTGTCCTGAGTCTCCACCCTCTGAGGGCTCCCTGGACAGGTGCTCTCCCTCCAGCCTCCACTTGGGGCAGCGAATGCACAGGTAGAAGTGATTCATCGGTGAAAGGCGAGCAGAGTTGCCCAACACCCAAGCCATGAACAACTCCAGGCAGAGTGTACACTCCGGCCTTTCCTCAACACCCTACTGCAGAATCTGAGTCTCCACGCCAACCACTGGGGCAGGAAGTTCCAAAAACCATGGACAGACCAGTAGAGGCAGGTGTGTTCACAATGACACAGACTATCCTGGGTCAGAAGAAGGGAGCTTGTCAACACAGTGGCACAAGGGCCAGGCCACTGAGGCAGGGTTCAGTCCAGGGGCCGATGGAGCTGACGCGGCCTCGGGAGTTTACAGGCAGGTAACAGGGAAGTTTTAATGAGATCACCTTTGAGGGAAAATTGTAATTTTCCGGTGGCTGATTATAGATTCTGAAAGCAGCCCAGACAGGAAGACAGGTGTACGGTACGCTTAAGATGACAGCTGGGCAAACTCGTGTTCCATATTTCCCTGTTGGAGAGAGAGAAGGAAAGAGAAGGTCAGGAGTTTACCAAAAAGCACATCGACACGCAAGCAGCCCTGAGGGTACCTCCCCCGTCTCCCAGCAGTCTCCTGAAATCCGTTTTTTAAACCATTTTCT